ATCAACTGCAGTGACTTGTCACGGCATCTTCCAAACCCGCAACATCTACCATCTGGAAGAACAAGAGCAGGCACCAAGTTGCCCTCTGAGCCACACACCACCCTGACTTGTAAATATAATCAGCATTCCTTCACTGTCGCTGGGCCAAAATCCTGGAATTCCCTCTCTAACAGCACACCACACACACTGCATGGACTGCAGCGAGCAATAAATGCTGGCCAGCTAGTGACACCTACTCTCCCCTGTAAAAAAAGTTAATTAAAAAATGCTAGTACACTGTAATGTAGTCAAGGTTTGTTTTTAAATGAGTAGGGATTAAGAAATGCTGGAAAGCTGTGTGTCCTTGTACAAAATCACTAGAAGGTCAATGTACAGGTATAGAAAGTAGTTAGGAAAGTAAATGGCTTTTATGTCAAAGAGACTTTTCATGCCTAGGCTTTGATTACCTTTGATGGAGAACTCCAACAATTTAACCTCTACACCGCCATCCAATTTTCAACTGGGTTGGTAGCATGTTTTCCCTGGTTGAGGGGGAAGGTGCAGTCACAATAAGTGGTCAGTCACTTAAGACTGCGGTGAGCAGAAATAGGACAATGAATCTTTGGGATGCACCAGTCCAGAGAGAGTTGTGGGTGTTCAGTCATTGAGCATGCCCACGACTTGGGAATCGATGAACTCAGTTGACTGGTATGCAATGTGTAATGAAACCGAAAGTGTGCGCTCAGTTCCTGACTGAGATTACCACGAAAGACTTGCTTTCTTTCTCAACCTTTACCTTCACCTGGCCCTCAGGTTAAACTGACCAGCGATTGTCTCTGTCTGATGAGAGAGTGAGACTGTGGAAACTTTACATATTTTATATTTAGGACAGAGATTGATACATTATCGGACACTGGAGAAATCACGGGTTATGGGGATTCGGAATTAAGGTGAAAGTATTTGGATCTAAGCAAAGGGAGGAGCACACACGTGTCTTTTTCTTGTATTCTTAGATACAGAACTAGACAATCTGTGTTTTTCTTTTAGCGATGTTGGTCCAAATTCTGGGCCAGTGTTGGAACAGGCATCTTAGAGACTGGGAACAGTCCCCAAACTGAGCAGGAGGTGAGGACTGCACAGCGAGGGATATTCGGAGCCGCAGATGGTACAATGTGGCCGTGGGTTCTGAACATTTGGCGCTGTCTTTGGGAGGCTGCTTCAGCCAAAGGAACTGCTCGATCATTGCTAAATTTAAACACCCAGAGTCTCAGCTGCAGAGTTCGGGGCAACAGAGAACTTCAGCGGCTCAACAATAACACAAGGAAAGTTCATTTATGTAGCGCCGTCAGCAGAGCCAGACATCCCAGTGCACTTTGCAGTGAAGGACCATTGACCCAAATTTGACATGGAGCCATTGGATGCTCTTCGGAGGCTCAGTATGGACTCAATAGGTCGATTGGCCTGCTTCCACATTGTAGGGATTCTATAATTCTTTGATTAGGACCCAAAATCTTGGTCCAGTGAGAAAATGTTAAGGGGCACCTTCAGATTGTGCTAGAATATAAGACTTAGGAGCAAGAATAGGGCTTTCCACACTTGAGCCTGCTCCGCTGTTGGACAAGATCATGTCTGGTTGTGGCCTCAGGTCCACTTTTCTGTTTGCTGTCCAAATCCCTTGTCCATCAAAAAAAAATCTCAGCTTTGAATAAATTCAATGACCCACCCTTCACCACTTTCCAAAGAAGTGAAATCTACACAGTAATGAGAGAAAATGCTACTCATAATAATCCATCTTTCAAGGGAGACCACTAATTCTGAAACTGTGCTGTATTTTTGTCTCCACTCCCCCCCCATCTACCTTGTCAACTCCTCTCATTGTTCCACACTCCAATGGAAAAAGGCCCAACCTGTTCTCACTTTTCTCATAAGATAAGCACCTTCATTTTAAGGGAGTGTAGGAGGTTCAAGGTTCAGGATGCTGAAGGCATGGTTGCAAGAGAATAGATTTTATGGAAATGCAAAGATCTTGGAGGATTGCAAGGACAAGAAGAAGTTAAAGAAATAGAGATAGGGGAGAGACCACAGGGGGAACTGAACACAAGATGAGCATTTAAAACCCATTAGTAATGCTAGACCGGGAGCTAATTAGCTGAGTGAGTACAGCGGTGATGGGTGAACAGGACTTGGTACTGTAAAGTATGGGCAACAGAATTTTGGATAAGATGCAAGTTATGGAAATCATTGAAGTTGGCAGACCATTCAGGAGAGCATTCGCGTAGTCTACGCTGGAGGTGATAATGCTCCTTCACAGGGGAATCATAAGGATGAGGTGTAAAGTATCCAAGAAAGATTTGGTGAGTTTGTAATGTGATTACCTGAGGCTTGTAGGTTTGATTTCCGGTCTATGCTGAGGTTTTTGATCTTAGCTGAGGTGTCATTGGGGTCAATAAATTGCCTTCAGAGGTCTCCTGTCAGGGAATTACTAATTAATCCCTGCTCCTGTTCTCACTGTTGGAGATTTCACACACTCTCTAATCTGTCTCTTGCACACTTGCCTACATTATACGCTAATCAAACTCTCTCCTGCACCCTCTCTCACTTACACTCAATTCCCCACTCTTTCTCTCTCTCATCTTTTCCCAAAAGTTAGGGCTAAAGGAGCTGGTGTCATTTAGAGACAGTGACCAACTTATGTGGTGTTCTTATTATTTCCAAATAGTCTAACATGTGCAGTTTTGAGCACACCTCCAGGAACCAGGTCAAAAGAATGTATGGTGAGCAAGAATATAACAACAATTTGAACAATTATCAGCCAAACAATTTTGAATTAATAATCCACAGTAAAACATACTAATAATAATAGAATAATAATCTTCATAGTAAGAGCTGATCAGTAATAGCCCAGCAGAGAGTCTCACCATTATTAAAAAAGAAACTTTAAGGTTTTATTGCTGGCTCAGTGGGGCAATGCGCCAGACAGTTTGAGACTGAGCCATAATGTTCCAGGAATGTTCTAAGTACAATTCTCAAGTTAGCAGATGTCAATCAGAGAGGCGGTGATGCTCCAGTTGACCTCGCTGAGTTATGGAGGGCAGATGTCAAAGGATATGGTAGGAGATTGGTTGCATTACAATCTGGAGGATGCAAGTTCAAGCCCACCATGGCGTTTGAGAGTTTGAATTTGATTCTTAAAATAATGTCTGTAAGTAAAAGGCTAGTAGCGTTAACTGCAAGCCTGTTGATAAAAAAATGATTAACATTCTTTAAAGAATTGGAAACATACCATCCCTTGAAAGCTGTGCTGACTCTAAAACCACATCAATGTAGTTAACTCTTAACTGACTTCTGAGGTGGTCTATTCATATAAGCCATACAGTGTGGAAACAGGCCATTTGGCCCAAAAGGTCCACACTGACCCTCTCACCCAGTCCCATCCTTGTATGGCTAACACATCTAATCTATACATCCCTGAACACTGTGTGGTAATTTCTCATGACCAATTTGCCAAACTTGCACATCTTTGGAGCACCCTGAGGAAATCCACACAGCCATGGGGAGAAGGTGCAAACTCCACACAGACAGTCACCTGAGGCTGGGACTGAACCAGGTACCTGGTGCTGTGAGGTAGCAGTGCTAACCACTGAGCCACTGTACTGCCCCAGTGTCCCTGTGCTATCTATTGTTGAGTCATTCACTTTCTCTCCTGCCCACTGGAACCCTGAAGCCCCACTCACTGTCTGATGCATCACTAAGTTGTCGGCACATGTGCTCTGTTCACCACTGAACCAACTTGCATCCCACCACCACCTCCTCAGGGCAACTCAGGCTGGTCAATAAATGTCAGTGAATACACCTCCTGAGAATGAATATTAGACAAAATATTCAGTCACATTGCCAACATCTCAGCTTGTTCTTCGAAGGATGCTGATGAGTTTTGGCCTGTTGATTCGCAGGCTGTCAGCTTGAGGAATTGGAGCAGGTGGAAGTCAATCCTGTTCCACCGTCCAGCAAGATTCTAGCTGATCTGTATTCTAAACGCATCCACTGGCCTCAGCTCCATAATCCATTCTCTAACAAAACTCTGTCCATAGCTGATTTTGAATCATACAAAAACAGAAATTGCTGGAGAAATTCAGCAAGTCTGGCAGCATCTATGGAGAGAAGACAGAGCTAATGTTTCGAGTCCCATGACCCTTTATCAGAACACTGATTTAGAATGGTTAATAGAATCAGCATCCACTGATCTTTGCAGGAGAGAGTTCCACACTCCTTAGTGAAAGGAAGTGTTTGTTAACTTCTCTCCGGGATGACCTGCCTGTGTTTTTGAGGCTGTTTCCCTTTTGTCCTAGACTCTGTCATCGGTGCAAATACTGGAGCTCAGCTGAATCTATGTCTAAGTCAGGATGATGTGTGGTTTGGAAGGGAACTTAGAGGTGATGCCCTCTGTTTCATTCTTATTTATCACAAATGTACAATTTATATAACAAAGTTTGGGAAAACAATTTTATGAGGATTTTTATTTGTAGGTAAGACTGCATAGATATAGCAATATCTGTAATGTTGTGTAGATATATTCAACCTCCATGATTTCTGCTCTTTTCTGACTCAGAATCAGGGGAATAATACATCACATCCTTTCTCAAAGGTAGTGATTGACATCAGTTTAAGGGGACACAACTTCATAAAGTTACATACATATCATATCAGAACCCTCTGATCCTTCTAGCTAAAGGAGGCTGTGTGCTTAGCAGTTTCTGTCGTGTTAAGGAAGTTGCACACTGCATCTTCTGAATGATACTCACTACATCCATGGAGTGCCAGAGAGTAATCATTTAAGGTGGTGGATGGAGGCCCAATCAAGTAGACTGCTTGTCTTGGATGGTGTTGAGCTTCTTGACTGTTGTTGTAACATTATCCATCCAGGTGAGTGGAGAGTGTTCTGGACTTGGGCAGTTTAGGTGTAGGAGAAATTTTGGGTGTTCAGAAGATGGACTTTCAGCACAGAGTACTCAGACTCATACATGGCTGGACCAGTGGTATCTGTAGTCAGTTACAACCCTCAGGAGACTGATGGTTGGGGAGCTGGTGATGTTAACGCTAGTCAGAAGCAGTTAGCATAGGGCAATTCAAGGATAGTGAACCTTGGCTGATCAGTAACAAATAGTACAGCCTAAATGGGGAAAGATAACACAGTCTATTCAGGGACAGGGAAACTGGAGTAAGCAGAGATAGGACAGGCTTATAAAAGACAGGTTTTGTTTAATAGCTTGAATTTTCTAAGCAGCAACATGTAGAGAAACAGAATGCACCAGATTATGTAATATATTGATTTTCAGAAGACATTAATAAGACATAAAATTGGCAATTTAAATTATAACAACCCCACAAGGAATTGGAATCAACCACAGCCTTCTTTCTTGAGCTCTATAACTCTCTTGTAATTTCTAGAAGAAAATATAAATGACCCTCTTCAGATCATTGAGGTCTAAGTAGCACTTTGTCCCCTGACAGCCCCCACCCCAACAGGCACACGCGTACTCACACACACTGACACACACACAGACACACACGCACAGACACACACACACACGCACAGACACAGAGACACACACATACCCTCAAGACACAGACACATACACACACGCACGGACACACCACAATGTGCAAAGCTGGAATCCCGCAGTAACAAACAGAAAGAGAACATCCAGGCAGCTATACCAGGTCAGGTGGAACTCACCTCAAGTTGTGGGTTCAAGTCCCACTGTAGAGGCCTAAACATAAAGTCAAGGCTGACACACCCAGTGTGTTGCAGATGGAGGTATTTTTTAAACTTGTTCATAGGAAGTAGGCATCACTGGCCAAGATCAGTATTTGTTGCTCATCAGTAATTGCTCTGGAACTAATTAGTTTGCTTGGGCCATTTCAGAGGGCAGTCAAGAGTCACAATGCTATGGGTCTGGATTCACATAGGCCACACCAGGTAAAGATGGTAGATTTCTTTCCTTAAAGGACATTAGTGAATCAGATAGGTTTCTAGAACAATCAACAATGATTATGTGGTCACCATTAGACCAGCTTTTAATTCTGGATTTAGTTAAATTCAAACTTCACCATCTACCACGGCAGAACTTGAATCAATACCCTCCTTGAATTAGCCTAGGGTTCTGGATTATTAGCCTAGTGACATTAGCAGTACATCACCACGTCCCCACTGCTGTGCTGTGGGACAGAGCTATCTTTTGACTGAGTTGTTAAATCCAGCATTCTTGGGTAGGTGTAAAAGATCTCAGGGAATTATTCTAAAAGAGAGCCAGGGAGTCCTCTCCAGTTTCCTTGCTAATGTTTATCCCTCAAAGAACATCACTCAAAGCAGTTTGTCCAGTTGCTGCGGGAGCTTGCTGTTCACAAATGTAACTTGCATGCTTCCTGTAAACAGCAGTGACCGCATTTCAAAAATACTTCACTTGCTCTAAGCTCCCTTTTCTTTCTTTGTACCTTATTCAGAGTGGGGACTCCAGTCAAGCTTTGCTCCCCCTATTCCCCCACTCTGTTGAAGATTTAGACAGGATTGAGTTGCTGAAGGGATAGGAATTGTACATCATGCTTTGTGCTGAGCTGCCACCACCGTCAGCTTCCTGCTGGTGGGGCTGGCTCCTAACAGCTGCTGGGTTTATCTTGGCTTTAGCCAAACGATTAACTTTATAATTAAATATTTCACTAAGTGTGGAAATGCTGTTAAGCAATAAGAGACAGGCAGGAGTGTAGCAGGTTAGTAATTGATTTTTGTGCAGCTTCTCATCCATTATAACCCATGACAGCACTGCAAATCTGCTACTGTGATTGAGCCAGATCTTCTGGATTGGTGCTTTCGTAGTCGCTGCTCCAGGGTTTAGACCAGCAATTCTCAAAGTTTTGCAGCAAGGGGACACTTCATAAGTGCACATGCTGCTTATAAAGATGGAAAGAATTTGCATGTATAAAGCGCCTCAGTTCATCCCAGACTGTTTTCCAGGCATTCAGACAGGAGTCAGTCAGTTTGTGTACAGCTAGCTTTCAAAATTAACAGTGCAAGGCTCCTTAAGACAGCACCTTTCAAACGCACAACCACAAACACCTACAAGGACAAGGGCAGCAGATACATAGCAACACCAACATCTGCATGCCACCCACCATCCTGAGTTTTTTTTAAATTTGTTCATAGGTTGTGGAATTGCTGTCTGGATTAGCATATATTGCCTACCCCTAATTGTCCATTGAGTGGCTCGCTAAGGCCATTTCAGAAGGCAGTTAAGAATCAAGCACAATTGCTGTGTGACTATGTAAGCCACAAATGTAAATCTGACAGATTTCTTTCCTTAAAGGACAAATATCACCTAAGAGGTAGACTTGAGAGAAGGAGAGAGAGAGATGGAAGGGCTCAGTTGGCTGGACAGCTGGTTTGTGATACAATATGATGACAACAGCATGGATTCAACTGTCACACAGGCTGAGGTTACTATGAAGGATTCTCCTTCTCAACTACTCCCCTCCCCCGCAGCATGGTAACGCTCAGGTTAAGCCACGACCAGTTGTCTCTCAAGAGAGAACAGCCCTGTGGTCTGGAAGTAAGACAATTAGCAGTAATTTCATGGTTGCCATTAGGCTAGCTTTTTAATTCCAAATTTCCTTTATTGAATCCAAATTTCATCATCTTCTAATTAGTCCCTATAACATCAACCTGGAGCTCTGGGTTACTAGTCCAGTGACATTGCCGCTACAATACCCCTTCCTATAACTTCCCCTGACTTAGAAATATATTGCTGTTCCTTCAGTGCCACTGGGTCAAATTCCTCGAACTCCCTTCCTAACAGCGTTGTGGGTCTACCCACACCAAATGTACTGCAAAGATTCAGGAAGGCAGCTCACCACCACCTTCTCAAGACATTTAGGGATGGACAATGAATGTTGCTCCAGCCAGTGATGCACACATTCCCGAAGTTAAAAAAAAGATGCTGGCCAGATATTTGCTTTTTTAACAGTGATGTTCTTTGAAGGATAATTATTAACTCATGATTCTTGAGGAGAGATCACTTTCCTCTCTGTTTTCACATAGTGCCACAGAATCTTTTACATAAACTCAGTTTAGCATTTCATTTGACAGATAACCCCTCAATCTGCACAGCATTTCTTCAGAACTGCCCTGGAGTGTCAGCCTTGAATATATGAGCAGATCTCTGAAGTGGGACTTGAGCCTAACACTACCTCTGAGAGGAGAGAGCTGCACCAACTACTGGAGCTAATTTCTATCCCTTTTTGTTTGCTTTTCTACGTGTCAAAAATGACTCAGGAGAAGGAAAGAGGCCATTTAGCCCTTCAAGCATTCTGCCTTTCAATAAAACCATACCTGATTGGATTGTGCCCTAAACTCCACTTTCCTGTCTGACCTCCAGTAGCTATTGACTTCCTTGTTAGTCCAGAGTCCATACTACTCAACCTTAAAAATATTACATGGCTCAGCCTCCACTGTTCTCTGGGAAAAAGAAAATAATGTTCTCCTCATCCCCATCTTCAGTAGGAGATCCCTTAGTTTTAAACTGAGTCCTTTGGTTCTAGTCTCTCCCACAAGACTAAACATCTTCTTGGCATCCATCCTGTCATGCCCTGTCATGTTTCAATAAGATCACCCCTAATTCTTCAACATCCAATGAATATGTTCAGTCCAATCTTTCCTTATGAACTAAACCCTTCATCTCAGGAAGTCAAGTGATCCTTCTCTGAACAGTTTCTAATCCAATTATCTCCTTTCTGAAATAAGGAGACTAAAAACTGAACACAGTATTCTAGATGTGGTCTCACCAATGTCCTGTCAACAGTGCTATTCTTATATTCCATTCCCCTTGTAAGAAATGATAACATTCCATTTGTCATTCGCAGTTTTCATCGCCTGACTATTAATAACTATCTCTCCAGCCTTTGGGTCCTAAAGTGTGAAACTCCCCAGTGACTATCTTCCTATCTCTCTTTCATTCTCAAAGACAACCCTTAAAACCTACCTCTTTGACCCAGCTTTTAACTACTAGTCCTAATATCTCTGTACATGGCCCAGTGTCTTATCTGTTTGATAAAATCTCCTGTGAATTGTGTCATCTGACTAAGTTAAAGGTGCTATATCAGTGACACTGTGAAAAACAACATACGGTGGCAACCAAACACTGAATGTTTTTGTACAACTGGAGCAAGTGAAGAAATGAAAGATTTTGCAAATACCAAAGAACTGTGGGTGCTGGAAAGCAGAAACAAAATCAGGAATTTCCGGAAAAATCTCAGCATTTGTGGAGAGAAAGCAGAGTTAACATTTCGAGTCCAGTGATTTCTAATTTTGTGAAAGATTTTGCAGAAGCTGGGAAAGGTCTGCACTGAATAATGCCTGTGTTTGAGATCCATTCTGCGGCTGAAACAGAGGTAGCTTGCATCTCCAGTAAAGCACTGTGAGATTTGTCACGCACTGTGTTGACATGCAATTTTGTCTTTGGTAGGCCTGGTCAGGAAGGGACTGCGGCAGACCTTGAGATCATCTCACAGCAGGTGGAAGACGAGAGCCAGTGCATTGCCCCTGTGCAACTTGTCAGCTTCGCCTATCGTGACCTGCCCCTGGCTGCACTTGACCTCTCATTGGCGGGGTCACAGCTACTTTCCAACATGGATGACGATGATCAAAGAGAGAGGTGAGTGGGTCATCAGAAATTTTCGCTTCTGTTTTTATCTTTTGGAAAAGAAAGCTCTTTAATTTTATATCTTTCTACTGATCTCAATGCTTATACTTACAGCTGTTCAGTAGAACAGCACTTGAGAATTGCTGATAGAAAAAGAAATGCTGTTTTCATCAGGACAGATGCAAGAATGCCAAATTTCAAAGGGAGGATCAATTTAGACTGCATGAGTTAAGGGTGCTGATTATTACTGGTTACTAATCCAACACCGTGCGACCACCTCTGGGCACAGTTTGCATGGTTCAACTATGCCTCCAGCTGAGGTTACCCTAAAGGTCCCACCTTCTCAACCTTGCCGCCCACTTGAGGTGTGAGCCCAGTCCATCACTCAAGCCAACCTTCCATCCAACTACACTTCTCACTGCCTTGGGAAGGCAGCCAACATAATCAAATACTCCTTCCACCCCAATTAAAATCTCTTCTGTCAGGCAGAAGATGCAAAAGCTTAAACACATGTGCCAACAGATTCAAGAACAGCTTTTCCCCTGCTAATATCAGATTTCTGAATGAACCTCGCAAATCCTAAATTGAAATGTTGACCTCACTTGTTGTGCATCTCCTCTGCAGCCATAATACTGTATTCCTCACTCTGTTCTATTACCCTAATGCACTTTGTATGGTATAATCTGCCTGTACTGCATGCAAAACCAAACTTTTCACCGTACCTACGTACATGTGACAATGATAAATCAAATCAAATCAAATAAAAACCAGTACCAGTCATCTCTCTCTCTTTCTCTCTAATGGGAGAGTAGCTCTACGGTCTGGTAAGACTATGATGACTTTACCATGTCATTATTGCACAGTAAAAGATGTTTCAAGGGTGGTGTAGCTCTGCTCCTAATTCCCATGTCCTTATAGTCTCATGGCACCACCTTCATTGAGGCTAAATAGCTGAGAAGACATACCTGGCTTCTGCTGATTGAAATTAAAGAGGATAACTTTATTTTCCAAACTACAGGCAGTAATCCAGCTATTATTCTGAGACAAATTGTGATTTGATTAATTGCAATTTAAATTGTTGTTGCACTATTACATCAGTGATTAATATTTAACAAGGAGCCATGTACATTGACAATCAATTGTTCCATCAACAGCAAAGCCCAATGAAAGTTTCCTTCCTTCTGCTAGTTACTGAGCATTGCCTGGAAGTGATTAATTCGAAATTACTTTGCCCCAGAAATGATTGAAATCATATCAATTTTGATTACTGTGGATGTTGGATGTGAGTACAATAATTGATTGCAGCTCATGTTTTTATCAAAAATGTCAAAGCAGGTGAAACCTTTTGGGAAAGTGCCCCAAGTGAACAGATCGAAAGGAAAGTATTTTGCATTAACATAGCACCCACCACCTCCTCAGGCTCTCTCAATGCTCCTCACGGCAAATTGATTTGATACTGATGTTGAAGTGTGGTGCTGTTATAATGTGGGCAAGTGAGGCAGTTGTACAGTTATAGTCACAGTGTCACACAGCAAGGAAACTTTGATCCTACCAGTCCATGCCGACTATAATCCCAAACTAAACAAGTCCCACCTGTCTGCACTTGGCCCATATCTCTCCAAACATTTCTTATCCATGTACTTGTCCAAATATCTTTTAAACATTGTAACTGTACCCGCATCCACCACTCTGTCTGGAAGGTCATTCCACAGTCATTTTGTTGCTCAGCAAGCTTCCACAAACAGTAGTGAGACAGATGACCTGATTGTGTACTTAAGTGAAGTACATGCTAGGAAATATTCAACAGGTTAGGAAGCAGTTGTGTGAGGGAATAATATCAAACTGAAAATTTCAGGTCAATGACCTTTCATCAGAAGAAGGACATATCAAAGATGAACAACATTTAAGCAAATATTCAGTGGCCAGAGAGAGAGGAAAAGAACAAAAGTATAAAGGTCTGTGTTCAGATGGAGAACAGCAGAGGTTGATTGCTAACAGGGACAAGGATGTACGACAAAAAAAGGAGGTGACAATGAGACAGAAACAAAAGAGGTGGGCATGTTTACAACAGAATGTCAAAGGTTATTTTGATTAAAGACTGGAGACTGGATATAACTCAAAATAAAAGCAAAGTACTATGGATTCTGGAGATCTGAAAGACAAACAGAAAAGTTTTACTGGCTAAGTAATGGGCTGGTAGCATTGTTGCTAGATTTAGTAATCTAGAAATACAGATAATGTTCTGCGGATCTGGGTTCATAGTCCAGATGGTAGAATTTGAATTCAATAAACATCTGGAATTCTAAGTCTATTGGTGACTGTGAAATCATTGTCAATTTTTTTTTATTCATTCATGGGATGAAGGCACCATAGGCATTTATTGCCCATCCCTAATTGTCCAGAGGACAGTTAAGAGTCAACCACATTGCTGTGGGTCTGGAGTCACATGTAGGCCAGACCAGGTAAGGATTGCAGTTTCCTTCCCTAAAGGACATTAGTGATCCAGATGGGTTTTTCCAACAATTGTCGGTAAAAACCTATCTGGTTCACTAATGCCTTTAAGGAAGGATAAACTGCCGTCTTTACCTGACCTACATGTGACCCCAGACCCACAACAATGTGACTGACTCTTAAATGCTCTCTGAAATGGCCAGGCAAGCCACTGAGTTGTATCAACGACTGCAAAGTCTCAACACAGGAATGAAACCAGATGGATCACCTGATGTCAAATAGTCAATGGAAACAACAATGGCAAATGCACCCCTGTCAATCATGTAAAGTCCACCTTACTGGGGGCTAGTGCCAAAATTGGGAGAGTTGTCTCACAGACTAGTCAAGTAACAGTGTGACATAGTCATACTCACATTTGACATTTTGTCCAGATGAGAGTAAGCTGAAAAGCATCAATAACTCATCTCCCTTTTCAGCCATAGTTTGCACTTACAAATGGTTGTACATATGTATGAAAACCAACGTTGGTTTATTAAACATAGCATACTCCTGCTAATATGTACCACATGGTTAATATAGTATATACAATGCAGTCCCATGTGTCCATGCAACAATACAAAATGAAACAAAAACAGGAATTGTTGGAAAAACTCAGCAAGGGCTGGCAGCATCTGTGGAGAGAAAGCAGATTTAACATTTCAGTTTCAGTGACCATTCTTCAGAACAATACAAAATAGATACGAATACAAAATGAATGCTTGGGCAGGACTTTAATCTCCACTTCATCTAGTAGGACAATCGTCATCACCATGTTGAAATAGTCCAGAAAAGATTTACACGGGTGTTACCAGGGTTGGAGGGTTTGAGTTATAAGGAGAGGTTCAATAGGCTGGGGCTATTTTCTCTGGACTGTCAGAGGCTGAGGGGTGACCTGATAGAGGCTTTTAAAATCATAAGGGGCATGGATAGGAAAAGGTCTTTTTCCCAGAATAGGGGAAACTAAAACAAGGGGGCATAGGTTAAGATGTCAGTGGTAAGATATAAAAGGGACCTAATAGGCAACTTTTACACAAAGGGTGGGGTGCTTACATGGAATGAGCTGCCAGAGGAAGTGGTGGAGGCTGGTAGAATTAGAACATTTAGAAGGCATCAGGATGGGTACATGAATAGGAAGGGTTTAGAGTGATATGGGCCAAATGTTGGGAAATGGGACTAGATTAATTTAGGATATCTGGGTGGCATGGACGAGTTGGTCTGAAGGGTCTGTTTCCATGCTGTACATCTCTATGACACTATGTTTCTTATATGCAACTCTAACAGTGTGTATTTTGCAATGTTAGTGACCTGCTCTGTCTGTGTTTCTCAATGTATAAAGCTTCAATGTGTTGCTCTGTGTATTGTCAGAGGGTATGAATATTTATGAACTTTAGACAATAATTGACTTCTCCTTGCAGGTTTGCAATGGGAAAAGTAATAACAGTCCCTGCCTCAGGCCTACATCGTGGCTGTACAGCCTGATTTCAGCTCACTCTTGAACACTGACAAGCTGGCTCCAGAAAAATCAATGTGCCTGCCTTTCTGCCTCATTGTTAGATACTGAACAGAAATGACTTACAGAGAAAAGCGAAGATTATTATCTTCACTCATAATAGAAGAGGCCTTACTCAAAACAAATAGCATGGAAGGGAGTGGAAAAGACATGAGGGTGGGAAGTTTAAAGGCAAAGAGCATCTTGCGAGTGCTGACTAGACGCACATACGCACACACGCACAGAATACAAAGCTCCTTTTCGGTGTATTGCCTCTCTGGGGACTAGAGAGAAAGCAGGCAACAGTTCCTGCTTATTTAATTAGTGTGCAGTGTAACTTATCTTGAAGGAGCACCCAGGAGAGGCCTACAGGGCATCTTACTATCTAACAGATCACGCACTCCCGTCTACTGCAGGGAATGCTTAGAATTGCAGTAGGAGCTGAGGCACCTCAGCTTAATTCACTTCTTTCAGGATTTGAATTAATAGCTTGAAAATTGTGATGGTGTGTTGCTCAGGCGGTTTTTCATTTTCTCTGCCAGTCCAAGGCTGCAGATTTAATGATCCCGGGCATCTTTCTTATTGGAGAAATGGTGGCTTATTTTAATCTTCCTGATTTCTCCCATTTTCCCTGTTTTTTCTGGAGCGTCCAATAAGTATTGGTGTAAGAGATAACAAGGGTAGAGCTGGATGAACACAGCAGGCCAAGCAGCATCAGAGGAGCAGGAAGGCTGACGTTTCGGGCCGAGACCCTTCTTCAGTCTGATGTGTGTATTGTGTACAATTCTCTCAATGCGTTGAACATAGCGTAGTCACAAATGAAACATCATCAGTAGGTTAAGTGTACCACAATCAGTACATCCTAGATGCATCCCTCACACAATATCATTAAAGGAGATGGTCTGTTCACAATCAGGATCTTGCTGTGCACAGAATTGGCTACTGCATTTTCTAGAATGAGGAAGGCCACCCCATGATGTTGCAACTGTAGTGGCTGAAACAAGGTTTGCCAGGTGGATCTCATTGAGTATGA